CGTTATCTCGGCTGGTTGACTGAGTCAAATGGTTTGTTGCATATTTGCGACAGTGGGCGTTAAGGGGTTAAGTTACTACAACAGTTTAATAAACAATAATTTAATTACATACTACAAAATGTTGCAGAATAATGTAATATATGAATGAATAATAACCTATAAAGAACCTTTATGCTAAAAGGGTTCTTTCTTGTCATTATAGAACCTTTTTTAGCATTAAAGGGTTAGTTTACCCAAAAATGAAAATTAAGTCATTAATTACTCACCCCCATGCTGTACCAACCCCGTAAGACCTTCGTTCGTCTTCGGAACACAAATGAAGATATTTTTTGATTAAATTTGAGAGCTGTATAACTACCACATTGGCTCCTAAAGGACTGCCTCTTGACGGCCCAGAAAGTCAATGAAGAAAATGTTTAAATATCCCAAGTGACTACCGTGGCTCAACTATATGTTTATCAAGCGACGCGAATACTTTTTGTGCGAAAAAACAAACAAAAATAACGAGTTTATTCGACTATTTCTTTTCTTCCTTGTAGGCCAGAAACGAGACTTCCTTATATTTCCACGACGCATGCGCGAGAACTGAACTGAAGTAGTGTAAGCAGATCGCAATTCTCGCACATGCGTCGTGGAAATCTAAGGAAGTCTCGTAAGCTATAATCGAATCCCTTTCAGGTGGCGGCCATATTGGATTTGGCCGCCATCTTGGTCTCATGGACCATTGGCTTGGGCGTCCTGGCTAAATCATTCCAGTATGTCCTCAGCTACATCTGTGCCAAATTTGGTGCTTGTATATGAATTTGTGCGAACAATGGGATGCAAGGCCCCATTCTACAGCCCAAACTGCTTTTTTGGACAGCGGCCATATTGGAATTGGAGGATCAAGGGGTCCAGATATACTGGGTCATAAATATAAACATTTCTATGTGTTTCCCATGATCAATTAAGCTGAAAAACATTTCAAGTTTGTATTTGTAACTCATGTGGTTCAAAAGTTATAGCCGGAACCCTTTTCGGGCAGCGGCCATATTGGATTTGGCCGCCATCTTGGCCCCGAGGGTCGCTGGCTCCGGCGCCCTAGCTAAATCATTTTAGTATGACCTGAGCTATATCTGTGCCAAATTTGGCGCTTTTAGATGAATTTGCGCGAAAATGTGCTTAAGGCCCCCAACTAAAAAGCCTTTCTTCGTGTTCGGCCAAACATAAAGAAGACTTGTTAGATTCAGCAGTTAGAGCTATTTTCATGGCAAAAATTAATTTACAAAAATACAAACATCATATAAATACAACAAAAACAAAACAAATATAAACAAGAAGTCATATTATACAATATATTTTTTAAATTAACATATGATAAAAAATCCAGAACCTTTTCAGGCATGATCTCATTAAATATGTCCTTCAAAAAAGTAACTTCATAAAAGAGCCTTCTGCTTGCGTTAAGTCCAGGACAATCTAATAAAAAATGTCTGACAGATAAAGGAATTTTACAAAACATACATAAAGTTGGGTCTTCACCTTTAAGCAAAAAAGCATGGGTCAAACTTGTATGACCCATACGGCATCTGGTGTAGACCACTTGATCAAATCTAGTTTTAAAATTGGTAGAAAGTCTGTTTGTTATTTCCGGATGAGTTTCATACAACTTATTATTCTTGCACATATTCCACTCTTCTTGCCACTTATTTAAAATATATCGGTTAATAATCGGCCTGATATCTGATGGAGGAATTTGACAATCATTCACTTCCTGATTAAGAGCTTCCGCAGCGGCATCAGCTCGTTCATTTCCTGAAAGTCCAACATGTGCTGGAACCCAGCAAAAAATAATACTGAAGAACTGATTTAGTAGATTATCCACTTTGGTTAAGATGCAATCCACTACAGGGTGATCAATTTTTAAAGTATCCATTGCTTGAAGGCAAGATTTAGAGTCTGTAAAAATTATAGCATTTTTTTGTAGTGTATTTTCAGACTCGTTAGATATTTATTTGCCATTGTCTGTGTTGTACTGACTGCGTTATTATTATATATATATATTTTTTTTGCCCGCGCATGCACTGTCATTTAATCTTTTAAATGTTAGCAGCGACTGTTCGGTCCTAAAACGATCTAATAGTTATTGTTGCTCGCAGGCTCCTTTACTGAAATAAAACAATGCTTGTGTCATGAACACTTTAATCTTTTACGTTTTTCCCTCCAAAAACGAACAGCTCAGTATTATAAACACATTTTATTTACCAACGCCTGGTAAACATTCAAACAAAGTGTAATTTTTAGTCTAAAAAGTCAAGAAAGCTAATTCCTAGAGTTAGTTCATACTGCCGTGGGTTAATACATAAACTTGAACACAAATAAAACCTCATTTCAAACAGGCTGAGAGTGTGAGCATTTTATTAATGGACAAAACCAAGATTACAATATAGATTACATTTACCTTTCAGTGTGGACATACCATTATTTTACTATTATCATAAATTATTCACTTCAAAGGAGACCTATTATGCCCCTTTTCATAAGATGTAAAACAATGATTTGATGTCCCCATAGTGTGTGTGTGTGTGTGTGAAGTCCTAACTCAAAATACCCCACAGATCATTTTATAGCATTTTAAAATTGCCAAATTTGGGCTTGTACAAAATCGCACTGTTTTAGCAAAAAACAAACATGATTTAAAAAATAAAAAATAAATGTCAGACAGTTCATTTGGAATTAATATAAAACAGAATATGTTGTGAAGTATGTTGGTTCTTCAGAAACTTACAAACTGTTCTCGGACAGAGGCGGGCGTTTTGAGCGGTGTTGAGGTCAGCAGGAATGGCTCTTCACCTGCAGGCGAGATTGGAGTCTGAAATGACAAGTTCAATAACGTTACATAACATTTCATAGCACTGAACTCATTCTGAACTGAAAACAATGCTGTTTTTTATTTTCGTTGACCAAATAAAAAGGTAATACTTTCAACATATGCGCGTTTGAGGTTTTACCAAAATTGGGTGTCAATTATATTTGTAAGCTTACAGTAATGAACATTATTTTGTTCTAGTCTGCACTACATCAGGGGTTCATCTCACTCATCTCTCTGCAGTCCTCTCAACAATCCAATACAGCAACAGGTTTGTGTGGTAACATTAGCATAAATAGACAAATATGCTAACTCAGTTTTACAGAACAGTGGCTTTACTTTGAAAAGAGTCAACTTATATACAACTTATGTGTAATTGTTTATCTAACGTTACTTTTCTAAATTGATTGTTTTACTGCTAACTACTATAACACTTTATTATTATGGTTTGGTTGAATTATAATGAAGAATGCGGTCTGTGATTTCTTGATAACGCACACCGTTGCTATGAAAGCCAGAGCGTTGCCATGGACGCAGTTCAGAGACGGAACGGACTATTTTCTAAAGCGGAAGCAATACAATCGTTTTTAAATCAATCAAAACCTTTTTAAATCAATATTTTGTGTCAAATGATCCCAGAAATAGAGTGGAGTATTAGTGAGTCTTACCTCTCGGCGAATGCGTTTAGTCCCAGATGGGCCAGGCTGGTCGTCATCAGGGAAGGTGAATATAGAGGGAACTGCGGTGTCCTTCAGGGTGGTTCTCCTCATTCGAAGCACGTTCGGTTCATAGTCTTCCTGCTTGAAATGGCGACTGCAAATCCTACGGGTTTTCAGGTTTTCCAAATCGGTGTCCTCCCCAAACTTCGGATGTTTGATAGCCCGCAGCCACTGTTTACATCGCTCAAAACTTCTAATCGGCAAATGATGGAAACTTACTATTTGTCCTTTCCTGGTTTTGGTTGTACATCCCGGTACAACGCAATTTAGCACCATTTCGATTGAAATGCATCAACTAACTCACGATTTATAGTCACACGATGCATCAAAGCAAGGCTAACGTTATTTGTATCAATGTTTCGGATACTACCGCCTGTAACCGGTAGGCGTGGTTTGAGAGTGGCCTCGGAAGGACAACAAAGCAAAGCATTCTGGGAGTTGATGTCTTTCAGCCACATGAGTAATAAACATACATTTTATGCCTTTTCTCAGTCTAGTGCTTCAATTTCAAAAGTAATTTATATAGCATATTATATATGCAACATATACATAATAAATACACACACACACACACACACATATATATATAAAATATCTTGACATAACCAAGAATACAATCAAATTTACATTTCAGTACTTTGGTTCAGATCCAGAACCGTATCTATTTGAACCGGAATACACCGAAGATGAGCTTTTGGTGAAAGACAAGAAAGCATGCCGAGTGGACCAGGCGGCCAGGTATCGTTAGAGTAAGTGATTCCTGCAACCATTTCAATGCACGAGTCACAGATTTAGAATGAATCTTGTCATGCATTTCCAAGCTTATATTTATGATGTGCTATCCTCTCAGAGAATACAGGTTGGTGTCGTACCGCATTATTATGGAGTGGGCCCTGAAGGGAGATACTTTAGTAAGAGGCCATCGAAAACCATTGGTTGATGTAATTCGCCGAAAATATCCAGAGTCAGGAGTTTATGCAGGATTTCAAGAAGCCTTAAATGCAATAAATATACTATAGGTACTGTTACTGTGCTCTGATTTCATGGCTTCTTACAGTTACAAAGATATTTTTGCAATCAAGTGGATTAAAAAGATTATATTCTGTTTTATATTGCACAAGCTTTGAATGTGAAATGTGTTCTTGTGCTTGTGAGCGTTATGTTATCAGTAATTACATTATTACTCATCTGACTGTCAGACTTTCACATATTATTAAATTGTCATAATGTCAAAATAAAGCTTTGCCTTCCTGTACCTAGAAAATATGTAAAGCCTTATTTTGTTTGCATGACCTACCAACTTTTAGAAATACAGTATAGCAACATTTATATTAGTTTTGTGGTGACCATATGTACAACATGATATCTAACATATTTTACTTGTAACATACATAAGCCTAGATGATGTTTACAAACCAAAGGGTAATCACAAATTGAGAATGTAATCATTTATTTAACTGTACAATAAAACAACAAACTATACATATGCATACATGATGTGAAGTCCCAGTGTATTGTGAACGACACAAGGTCTATGTGGAGCTAGCGCGTTTGTGTTCATTCTGAGATACAGATGACAATCACAGCTCCTCTGATAGACCTTTCAACCTTGATGTGTACGCTCTTAGGACATGCTATAGGTAAGCGTCAGCAAAGCGATGCAAAAAAAAAAAAATTCATTATCGATTATACACTCTTAGAAGAAAAGGTTCTATATAGAACCTTAAAAGGTTCTAAAGCGCTACATATTTGGAACCCCTAAAATGTTCTATCAAAATTCAAGATATGGGGTTAGAAAATGTATATATTTATATCATTTTATGTAGTTAATCAATATACCACAAAGAGTGCCATTTCAGATTTTCTCCTCCAAAAATCAGCATGATTAAAATGTGATATTAAGTTTAATAAACAATTTAATTACAACAACAAAATATTGCAGAATAATGTAATATATGAATGAATAATAGCCTATAAAGAAGTTTTGTGCCAAAAAGGGTTCTTTCTTGTCATTATAGAACCTTTTTAGCAAAAAAATATCATTTGGAGTTGAGTAAAGAACCCTATGCTACATATGAAGAGTTCAGATGCAAAAGCCTCTAAATGCCATTTGATATTTTCTTCTTCAATGATGATTTTTGTCAAACTTGTATATTTAAGATCAGTAATTTCACTTAAATAACAATTAATAGGTAATTATCATTGCCATTTAAGTGAAATCACTGAACTTACATATACAAGCTTGATAAAAATCATCATTCTAGAAGAAAAGAGGCTTTTGCATCTGAACTCTTTATATATAGAAGCCTTTTTTCTAAGAGTGTAGATAGCAGAACATCTATAGACATATAACTTGGACACTCACATCATAGATTAAACTTTTCCTATGAAACAGTTGGAAGTTCTTCTGAAGGTCTGGATTTCTGAGGGGTTGACCAGCAAAAAGGCTGAAGAAATGCTCAAGTTCAGGTCGATCCTGCTGTACATCAAGCTCATCCTGGTTGATAATTAAAAGGAAAAAAAAAAGTTATTCTATGAAGGCAATTCCTTTGAGAAGCAAGCTATATATAAAAAAAAAAAAACTCCAACACACCTGTCTTTCAACAGCATAGGTAATATGATATTACGAACAATTTTATTTTAGGAAAAGGATGCCTGACTTTGACACACGCTCCAAAGGCACATAACGTGACATCACTAGTATTTTGTATTATAGAAACTTTAGACAAACAATACCGAAAATTCCACAAGTTTCCTTTAATTAAACTTTACGGTACCTCATCACAACTCGACTACAAAACTACTAAGGTTTATATACTGTACAAGACAATTGATCGAGTAAACCTAGCACTCATTGTTTGCATTTCACAGGAAGATAAACACAACGGCAGTCGGCAGTGTATTCATTCAAGTGGTTCAAGCTAACAAAAAATAAAATGATTATACTTACAGTCATGGGTGACGATGATACACTTGGACCTATCTGTACTCTGAAGATTGTTGGGATGGCCGTATCCTTTAGACGCCGTACCGTACTGTCCTTGTTTTCTTTATAGTCCTCTGGTCCAAAATGCTCTGAGCAAACACGCCATTTCTTGATGTACTCTACCGGTGTTTGGAGATCAATGTTCATAGCAGCCAACCATTGAATGTATAGCTCCTTGTTGTACGCTGGTATTCTGTGAAACATGACGCCGGTAGTGTATCCCCTCGATTTACTATCACAGCCCTTTACTACGCACAGGACCATGGCTAATCGCTCAGGGGAATCCACTAACTTTGGCTAATTTGCCGACTGACTGAAACTACACAAACTCAGTCCCGGTCACGTTGGAAGTTACCGCGCTTGGGACTATTTTCAGGCGCTGCGTCATATCATTGCGCCTGCTGCACTCATGGTACGGCAGTAAAGTGTCCTGATTATTACGCAGGAATGAGAGTATAGTTCCTATCAGCCTAGAAAATCACAACTTTATATTTTCCGTCGGTCTTAGTGCGCGATGTAACTACAGACAAGTCAAGTTTTAAATAGGAAAAATATCGAAGCTCTTTGTTGTTAATATTTTTAAATGCTAATGGTCTTGTCCACTTCAATGATGTATGCTAAGCTATGCTAAAAGTGTTACGGCCAGAACCGGAGATCAGCTGAATAATGGATTCAAGAACGGTACAACTCAACAGTTTAACTCTGGGAGTTGTAAAATGAGCCTATTTCCAAAAAAGTGGAGTATCTCTTCAAGAAAAAAAAAGGAGTGGGTGGATTTTTATCACTGGAGGGTGGTTGTGTACACCACACTGCTCAACACACATTTATGTTAAAACACCAAAAGTGAAATTTGCATAATAGGTCTCCTTTAAAATTATACAAGCGCAAATACCTAGTTAAAAAAAAAAAAAAAAAAAAAAAAAAAAAAAGGTTTCCGTCCCAAACCTTTGACATGAATAAGTGCATGTCCTCTTTGTTTTTGAACGTGAAATAAAACAGGGCCTTTATTTCGTCATCCTCATCCAGAAATGCCTCACGATGCGCACGCGCAGACAAAATTCTCCAAAAATGTAACAGCACGTCAATTCTACGTGGACGCAATCGCTGTGATTGGTCTACTAGCACCGTTACCCGGGTTAAACATGCTCCCCCTGCATAGACAACAGAACTGGAAGACAATACAACGCTGAATAAAGTCATAGTTTTTGTTATTTTTGGACTAAAATGTATTGTCGGTGCTTCAACACATTGTAACCAACCCACTGATGTCACATGACTACTTTGATGATGTCTTTACTTCCTTTCTGGATAAGGACAGTATACCGTGCATTTTTTCCAGTCGCCAAAAATATAATTATTACTTTTATTTCATTGCTATAAAATTTCTTAAAAGGTAAATTACAAAAAAAATACTTTGCTGATTAAACTTTATCCTTTGATTAACTCATTTAACTACAATACATCATATTTTCGTTGTGTCCTCTCTGCTGCCATCGCGTTACTCTTAACTAGGTTACCTCTCCCGTTTTCTTAAATAATTTAGGAGCCGAGACCAAGTCTTAACACTTATGAACCTTTATGAATCACACTTAATCTTAAGTTTAGGAATAAGAACAGAAAATAATTTTGACAGACTTGAGACTAAAATTTTCCTTTGGGTGGCTTTATACAGTACATACGGGCCCTGATTTTCTGTTGGATGTAATGTTGCAGCATTAGCGCAGAACAGACCATATTAGTGCCAGAACATATTATATTGGGTTTGCATAAACCCTCATTGTGTATATATAATAGTATCTAATATATAGTCTTTTATATACACACTATAAATGCACATATTTGAATATAATTAATTTTCCGCTTCACAAAAAAAGAAAAAAAAACGTTCTGTGCATAGCCTATAGGCTACGCGCTCACTGAAATACAGACATATTAAATTTCAAAGAAATATTAACCCCAAAAAATTTAAACATATGACATATTTAATTACCTCTAAAGGGCTAGAAAAGTCCTCGGGAATTGGTACCGCATGACTCGCAAGACGTAACTTGCATTGGTCGTCGACAAGGCCAAAGTCCACCATTCTCCAATTCTCGAAACTCTCTCTGGTAAAATGTTTGCGGCACACGTACAGATTAGATGTGTCCATGGTTGATGGCCAACCAACCGCCCGGAGCCAGAGTCTAGCCCTGGCAGCATCGCGGGGAAACATAGATAATCCACTTTGACTTCTGCACCATGAAAATATACACTTGCGTCCCATGATGGTCATTCCTGTCTCCTCTACTACGCGATATCAGTTTGACATGTCTGTCATTGGAAAGATCCACGTGGTGTCATGAATAATTAAGAGCAGTGTCTTCTCATGGGATATGAAAACTTGGCCTCATTAATAATTATGAGACACTGATGAGTCATCAACGCACACCCTTGTGCTCTGCCACGTCACAGCCTACGATGAAGATTTTAAATAGGGGTCGACCGATATGTGATTTTCAGGGCCGATGCTGATACCGATTATTACAGATCAAATAGACCGATAACCAATATATATATATATATATATATATATATATATTAGCCTATGTCTGGTGTAAAACTGTAAATGTCAAAATTAAGTTGACAAATACTTTCTTTAAATGATTTTAAACATATCTTTGAATATGAGAACTGTTAATAATAATAATAATAAAGTGCAGGGAGCACCCAGCAGCATTCTGTAAACATTTTGTAAAACTTAAAGACTCTATTTTAATGTTTAAATAAAATTTTAGTCATCAAAAAGCATTTCTAATTAATTAAAATCATTAAACTTATTCAATTTATTTACAGTTTAACAAAAATTACATTTTTAGGGCTTTGTGAAAAAACGAACTTTTATTTTGACGGGTAGCCGTGGAGATCTTTGAGTTTCCGTTTGTCTATGATGTGATGATAACTTTTCTCAGTCGAAGCATTAAAAAGCTCATGCGAGCGACTCTGGAGATGTTGTTTATGCAATCATGTCCTCATATAATGATCCGGATGAGGCTGAAAACAGCGCAAGCGTCACGCGTGCTCCAGAGTGTGTTATGTGTGTGTGTGTGTGGTAAATGAAATCACGCGTCAGCGCCATTCATTTAGAGACACGCAGGATTAATATTTAAATAGTCTTTTTGCGGTTTGATTTGTACTGACCTGCTTTTTATTAATTCATCAAAAAGTTGACAAACTCCGTGATATTCCGCTTTATACAGTAAATTCTGTTTACTGCATCGCGGAAATCACAGGGCTGTATTATATTGAGGTATTTTGCAACTTCGTGAAGCAGCTCCAGTCAGCGAGTGCTCTCGGTGTGAGAGTGCAAAACTTTCAGTGCCTTCAGCTTGCCGCGCTGATTCAGTAGCACCTCAATGCAGAACATGAGATCCACGGGGTGGAGATGGGTAGGATTAGGGTTGGGTTTGGAGATCAGGGGGCGGACTCACTCCTCCCCATGGATTTTATGTTCCGCAGTGAGGACCATCTCCGCTGATTGGCCGGACTCGTGACTCCCAACGAATCAGATGTGCGTGGACATAAGCAGTGGTGGAGGAAGTACTGAATGTCAGTACTTAAGTAAAAGTACAAATAACCAGATAAATATTTACTTTAGTAAAAGTAGAAGTAACACAATGGCAACCATACTGAAAAAACTTTTGCTGATAATTTACTCGCCCCCATGTCATCCAAGATGTCCATGTCTTTCTTTCCTCAGTCGAAAAGAAATTTAGGTTTTTGATGAAAACATTCCAGGATTTTTCTCCATATAATGGACTTCAATGGGAACCGGATGGTTCAAGTATCAAAAGACGGTTAATAACAGTTTCAGATGCAGCTTCAAATGTCTTTAAACGATATCAGACGATGAATAAGGGTCTTATCATGCAAAACGATCGGTTATTTCAAAGCTTATTCCAAAAATTTAACTTTTTCTAAGGACAAATGCTAGCCTTGCCTATATTCTCTGAGGCGCGTTTGTAACGTCACGTAATACGTAATTACGTTCAAAAGGTCACGGGCGACGTAGCCGGAAGTACAGAATCAAAATCGTCCGACATCGTTGTTTTTCCTTTTAATTCCTTTTTTTGTAAACGGTGTTTGAGTTAGTTTTCACGTTCAACCTATGCGTTCAACTTGTAAACACTGACTCTGTACTTTCGGCTACGTCGCCCGTGACCTTTTGAACGTAATTACGTAATACGTGACGTTGCAAACGCGCCTCACAGAATATAGCAAGGCTAGCATTTGTCCTTATAAAAGTTACATTTTTGGAATAAGCATTGAAATAACCGATCGTTTCGCATGATAAGACCCTTATTCATCGTCTGATATCGTTTAAAGACATTTGAAGCTGCATCTGAAACAGTTATTAACCGTCTTTTGGACCCCCGACCGTTTGGTTCCCATTGAAGTCCAGTAAATTATCAGCAAAAGTTTTTTCAAAAGTGAACTAATCCTTTAAGTAAAAGTACAAATAACCAGATAAATATTTACTTTAGTAAAAGTAGAAGTAACGCAATGGCAAACATACTTAAGTAAAAAGTACCTGATTTTAAATGTACTTTAAGTATTAAAAGTGAAAGTACTTGCATAACAATTTATTCTCTTAATGTCTATTTTCTAATGATTAATAAAACATTTAATTCTAACTCATTCAACCTAATACTCCTATAATGATGTTCAATAATGATGGGGAAAAAAAATGTTGTCACCATTTCTGAAACAAGCTTGCAATTGGGCAATATACACATCATGCTTTTCCTTACTAGATGTTAATAACTATGTTTGGCAGTAAACGCGATTAATTTATGGTGTAATTCTGAACCTCTTGGCTTGCCATAATCCTAACCAAACGTATATTACACACGGTGCGTTTCTTATGCACGTAAAAACAAATTTTCGCGAATAAATTGCACGATAAACACACTGCGTCCGAGACGCATTTAGTGTGACCGGGTTGATGTATCTATGGCAACCAAACGTCACTGGTGAGACAAACGTGCAACGAACGGATGGTCAGATTACGTTTTGGCAGGGGAAAAACTGATCAGAAAATGTAACAGAAGTTGTAGAAATGTAGTGGAGTAGAAAGTATAATAATTGCTGCAAAATGTAACGAAGTAAAAGTAAAAAGTATGCACTATTTATTCTACTTAAGTAAAGTAAAGATACGTGAAAAATGTACTTAAGTAAAGTGGACATAAGTCTAGTCAACAGAGTGGTGAGTTCCGACAGAGGTGGCTGCGTTAGAGCCAAAAATAGCGCATTTCAAAATAAAATTATTTTATCGGCAAATCGGATTTGAAAATGGCCGATACCGATAAGCATAAAAAATGCTTAAAATGACCGCCTATAATCGGTCGACCTCTAATTTTAAACCCGGAAGACGAAAAAAGTGGGGGAAAAACTCAAATTTAACCAATTTAACCTTATTATTAAAACTAACAGATGCTAACATTGTCTTCAATGGTGTTCAACACACATACCTCTGTTAAAATCTCAGAAAATTTGGTTTGGGGTTTCATGACCCTTTAAAGGCGAAAACTTGAAGGGGCGTAATCTGAAGTCTTGCAGTCAGACCCTTCTCAGATAGGCTGAAATCACTCATGTGGTACGTGACGTAACTCTCTCTGCGTGTGCATTGTCAGGTGCGTGTGTGTGTGTTTCTGTTTATATTACATTGTGTGGACCAAATGTCCCCACAGTATAGTAAAACCTGAAAATCACCTACATTGTGGGGTCCAGCCAGCGGAAAACAGTGTATATATCATACTAAGTAATGTTTTTTTCTAAGAATGTTTCCTGTGATGGGTAGGTTTAGGAATAGGGGCAGGGTAAGGGGATAGAATATACAGTTTGTACAGTATAAAACCATTACGCCTATGGAGAGTCCCCACAAAGATGTGTGGATGGTTTAGTTTGAAAAAAGAATGAAAAAAAAAAACATTCTCCAACAACAGAAAACCCCAGCAATGGCGGCTGTGCCCATAATGCACTTAGTGTCTCACAAGTGTGACGTCACCTGACAAAAACCGATTAGCAGCTAATGAGTTGCCATGAGAACGTCTGACATCTCCATCTTAAATACAGATAAAGAATATTTGTTTTTGTTTTGAATCTGATTGACATCAAGAGGGTTAATTTTAGCCTAAATTGTGATTAAAAATAATATGCTCACTCACTTTAAGACGCCGCCGCGCGGGTGCAGTCCGTGGTGGAGGAGGACGAGGAGGATGAGCGTTTGGCACGGCGTCGCTTCTCAGCGCCAGCTGTGTGGAGAAGCCCATTTCCACCTCCATTGCGTTGGAGAAGCAATCCCGTGTAAAATGCAGGTTGCACACTCGAGCGATAGACGGGAACTCACGGTCTTGCATGCCAAGTGCATACAACCACCGGCGCCTAATATTCAAGTCTGCTGGAAAGTTATGCAGTCCAGCAGTGCTGTTGCAACCAGCAACGCAACACCTACGTCCCATCCTAACCTGCACTAAACACAGATAAAGCTAATGCTAACTTGAAGCTATACTGAATCCTGGTGCAATACTTACCTACTAGCTAACTATGTTATTAACAACTATGCTAATATTCACTATCCTGGTGGTACTAACAATTCCAACTCCTGACTCGCTACAGTGCTTTGGACTAATACGATGTTTTTATATCAGGGGCTGAGCGTATGACAAAGGTGTGGTGAGCTCGTGCCTGCTTATGTCACATGGCACCACAACTTCCAATAGGAAAATTCACCTGCAGTAGCCACCGTTCAACCTGAAGAGGGCAGCACTCGCACACGTTTTTACACCAGATAACTAAAACAAACTATTTACAAATGTCCAAAAATGTACTCGAATCAATGGACAGCAGTCTTACACAGATCATTAACTTTAAAAAAAAAAGGGTTGCCCTTTTAAAACACTCACATGTTCCTCATCTGCAGCTTTGCCTCGTCGTTCTGTTGGTATCGCCCCCTCGTTCAGGAACAACTTTGAAGCAAACCCTGCTTTATACTGTCCAAGGTTGCGAAAGCACTCCGGCTTGAAGTGACTCGCGCACACATGCAGGTTTTTGCTGACTGTTTCTGGGGGATTCCCGCTGAAAATAAAGCCAAGCCACTGCTCTCTGGTCCTCTCTGAGGCTGGGACTCTGAGCAGTGTCCTGTGCTCGTCTGTGCAGCCAACGACCGAACAGTTCGCGTGCTTTGCTCGCACTTTTGCCATTGTGTGTTAGAGTACTCGCTCGCGAAACTAAATGGCGGTCCGTGGGTGAAACGTGCAGATTAATATAATAACAAGATCCTCTTCCTACGCCAGAAGGGGAGCGAAATCGGATCGGCTTATTTTTTGACATGCTTGCAGAGAAAGGCTCATTGATGCACAGCCCGAGTGAAAAAAGTAGCCATTTCACAAGATGTAAACAACACTGGTCCAGAAGCACTTCCTGTTTCAGTTTTTTAACTCTACATAAAAGCTGGGATAAAATACAACCAACAGAACATTTAAAACTGAATCAAAAAGTTAAACAAACATCTTTAAGATGTTTTCTTTACATGTGAAATAAAGAAAACCGTTACAAACTGAAGTGCTTCTGGACCAGTGTTGTTTACATCTTGTGAAATGGTCTATACTTTATTGTATTTGACATACATTCCCTTTTTCAATAGTACATTACAAATATACTAACAAAAATTGTACTAAATGCATATTTACCTATTTTCACAATACAAATTTTAACACACTTTAAAATAATTGTGCTTTAGTATATAAAATATATTTTAAAAAATATTTATTTTTTAAAAGTGTATTTATTTACACTTTATAAAAAATATATTTTAGGTATATTTTAACTGTGTGCTGTAAATTATCATTGTAACAATGTATACTTCCTAAATAATACATTATAATACAATAGTATTTTGTACAAAGTATAGCTAAGTTTTATTTATCTAATAATGCACATTTGTTATTGAAGACAAAGTATGCAATTTGAAGTATTTGGAATAAGCCAAAGTTATTAATGAGCCTCTGGTTTTTACTGAAATATATCACACAACACGTTGACCAGTATAAAATGTGGGAAATAATCATACTTTTGGTTAATAAATAGGCCTACGTGAAAAGTTTAGATCTCTAAGAATAATTTCTATAGAAGTATAGTTTTTGAAAAAAAAAAAAAAAGGACAAAAGAATTAGCAAAATGTCTGTATGAATAAGGCAAGTCACACGACAGGACATTTCATGTGTACTAGCCATGAACACAATTTCTAAATCATTAAAAAGTGGCCACACTTTAGTTTAGGGTCCAATCACTATTATCTAACTATTAACTACAACTTTTGCCCCAAACTCCTAATTACTGCTTATCAATAGTAAGAAAGATTGTAAAATTTCGGTATTGGGTGGATTAGAGTATGGTCATACAGAATAAGACATTCATATGTGATTTATAAGTACTAAGAATAGGACCTCATTTATTTATTTATTTAGAAAAGGGAAAGTGAATAATACTGATATATTAGTACAGTGATATATTATGACAGTGAAAAGGGACAAAATAATCTAAAGGGTTATCAAAAAAAAAAAAAAAAAAAGTATGGCTTTTTACTTATGATTTATTTATTTTAAATCTAGTCACCAGTAAGTCAGGGCTAACAGCGAGCCGGTAGTCTCGAACCCCGAGCACTGAGGACGAACTCAAGCTGTGTTTCCACATTCGGGCCAGAAGCCCCGCATCACCAGTCCGTAAACACGCCTCTATTGAACAACACCACACAACCACACCGTTACACCAGCTGATGGAAAACGAAATACATCACAAAATGAAGCAAACGCTCGGTCTTTACTTATAGACTTAACTCCAGCATCGATATTTGACCAATGTTTTAAAATAAAAAAATGTTACAGTGACAGTAATTTATTTATTAGTGTCAGGAGTGCACATCAATCATGCTGAATCAAACTGATATGCACAATTTCACGTAAAAACACAACACATAAGGAATATAGGGAAAATCTGTGACTGTCTGTCTGTCTGAATGTGTGTGTGTGTTTCCAAATCTTCATCCCTGAGGGGCTCATTACATTACTATGTTACGAGATCAGATTTAAAGCTTAATGCCTTCCACTCACTCACACACACTCAAGATAATCAGGCATAGAGATACAGTAGAGTGAATCCCCAATCACAGATATACACATGATTTCTGCCCTCAGGACAATTCCAGCTCATTGGTTATCATCACTCGAGTCGTATATTTTTGGAAGTATAATAATGCGATGTTACACTCGACATGATAATGCAACACTACTAACCAGCACACAGCCGGCATGGGGTCTCAGGTGCGGCTTCATCATAATAACTCTGGCGAACGCTGGCGAAATTAGCCGTCCATGCAGTATAACACACACAGTCACACACACAGTTAGATTAGTTCATTAGCGACAGCACAGCTCCTATAAGGCATGATGTGTACACCGTTTTCCCTTCAATCATTTAGCCTGACACTATTGTTTCTAAACATTTGCCATCTTTTTTCAATCCTTTATGATTATTACAGGATAAAGATTTTCATAAATCCTTTTGTATAGATTGCACTGACAGATTTCTAGCCAATGAAATATTTTAGAGTTGAAAAACATATATTGAATAAACAACATTTCCATGACTTTGTGAGTTTTGAAACCCTGTTTTGTAAGCAACTGTATTGTAAAATATACCAGTGTGAAAGACGTAAAAGCGTTAGTAAATAAGGCCTAAGTTACACTGTTAGACCGTACCAGGTTTTTTACAGTAAAATACTGGCAACGCTGTTGCCAGTAATTTACTGTAAAAATGCACTAAAACTAATAAGTTGTATTTTTTAGTTAACTTGAGAGTTTTAGTGCATTTTTACAGTAAATTACTGGCAACAGTGTTGTAAAAATGCACTAAAACTACTTTGTATTTTTTAGTTAACTTGAGTTTTAGTGCATTTTTACAGTAAATTACTGGCAACAGTGTTGCCAGTATTTTACTGTAAAAAACCTGGTACGGTCTAACAGTGTATTTTCTTTTTTAAACGATTTATTCAGTTAACACCCAAAATAATGTACTTCAGTTGTTCCAGTAATATTCAGATGTCAAACTACTGCTAAATATCTGGCGATATTGTCCGGTGTAGTGTATTTATTTCACAAAATGTCACTATTAAAATGTACGGAGGCGTATTGCATTCACTTGAAGAAAAAAAAATCTACTCTGTTTTTCTGAATTAATGACTTAATTTTTCATGAGAAAAATTTTTTTTCTCTGTTTTTCTGAATTAATGAGTTAATTTTTCATGAGAAAATTTTTTTTGCTCTGTTTTTCTGAATAAACGAGTTAATTTTTCATGAGAAATTTTTTTTTTGCTCTGTTTTTCTGAATTAATGAGTTAATTTTTCATGAGAAAAAAAAAATTGCTCTGTTTTTCTGAATTAATGACTTAATTTTTCATGAGAAAATTTTTTTTTGCTCTGTTTTTCTGAATTAACGAGTTAATTTTTCATGAGAAATTTTTTTTGCTCTGTTTTTCTGAATTAATGAGTTAATTTTTCATGAGAAAATATTTTTTTCTCTGTTTTTCTGAATTAATGAGTTATTTTTTTGTGAGAAAAAAAGTTTTTGCTCTGTTTTTCTGAATTAACTCGTTAATTCAGAAAAACAGAGCAAAAAAAAAAATTCCATGAAAAATTAACTCATTAATTCAGAAAAACAGAGAAAAACTTTTTTTCTCATGAAAAATTAACTCATTAATTCAGAAAAACAGAGCAAAAAAAATTTCTCATGAAAAATTAACTCATTAATTCAGAAAAACAGAGAAAAAAAATTTTTCTCATGAAAAATTAACTCATTAATTCAGAAAAACAGAGCAAAAAAAAATTCTCATAAAAAATTAACTCATTAATTCAGAAAAACAGAGAAAAAATTTTTTCTCATGAAAAATTAACTCATTAATTCAGAAAAACAGAGCAAATTTATTTTTCTCATGAAAAATTAACTCGTTAATTCAGAAAAACAGAGTAGATTTTTTTTTCTTCAAGTGAATGCAATACGCCTCCGTAAAAATGAACACAATTTTGCAAATATTCCTTTCTGGTCGTGTAGTTTATGTCGTAGTTGTTACTTCAGTACAGTATGTTGAATGGTAAATGTTAAGCTTATTGAAGCAGACTGAAATATCTCCATAGTGGGGATGATGTTGTCATGGAAACAGCGTTGGATGGGATCACAGCATTATTTAGCATGATGACAGCTCTTCAGCTAATGTTTGTTTAGAGGTTATAGTGGAGAGAGTCTCATTAGATCTAGAACACCCTGATGTTACTCACACTGTGGGTTTGATATGCAGAATAATCAAAGCTAATAAACACCATGAGGCAGGGAAGAGCAGGAAACATGAGACCAAGTGATGGTAAAAATGAGTTTGTTGGATAATCTTAGTTGCCAATTTGCTGATGCTCAGTCAGATCTGACCGTCAAGAAGTTATTATATTTAGCAAAGCAAAGGCAATGGAAAACAACTGCTTCATGACATCATCCTGTGACATTAAAAAACATTTCTTTATCTCTAACTGAAGACAACGCAGCACACAAGATTAAACAGGAACAGAGGTAGTATATGGAAATATAAAATGAAATAAGAAAATATGTAAAGTAGTCTAATATTGAAGAGGTAAAGAAACAACACATTGTTTTCTTGAAGGTGCATATACACTAAAAAAATCTGTTAAAAAAGTTCAGTTGCTGCCTTTTATGTATAATCAAATTGGCTGCACAAGTCATTTAAACTTAAATTATATCAATCTGACTTTTTTTTCCTGAATCTCATAGTTTTTTAAAATAGGG